TTAAGTACAAGGGTTCTATAGACCTTCAGTTTGGTAGGCAACCTAATACTTCTTCTTTCCCATACTTTTCTTTGGAGCTTCCCAAACACTGAGCTAGCTCTGGCAATATGTGTGTCAACCTCATCATCTATGTGTACATCTCTGGAAAGCATACTGCCAAGGAAAGTGAACTTATCCACAGAATTCAAAATTTCTCCATTTGCCGTAGCCAACTATGGAGTGTGCAGTGCTGGCTGATGTGGAAAATCTGTTTTCTTGGTGTTAACTGTCAGGCCAAAATTAGCATGTGTGAGACCTCCACACATAAGAATAGTAAAGGAGTAAATGATATATGAACTATTTACCTGTACCAATACCACTTGAAAATGATAAACAATAAGGTAAAACTACTGCAGCCCAACCAAACAGGCCTTCCTTGCTATTCATTGTACGTGACATGTGATCTCACCTTCCTACCTCTGTACTGCCTGATCCCAAAAGGACTGCTGTCTTCTTCCCTTCCATTCTCTCAGAAACCCTAACCACACAGAATTTTCTGCATGGGGCCTTTCCTGAACTCTCCCATCCACTCCATTCACCCTAGGAGCCCTAGTGCTTTTCCATAAAAATAATTTTGTATTTATTTTGTATCTTTTTGTATGTTCCTATGTATATGCACATAAGTCAATCAATCAATAAACATTTATTAAGCCCCTACTATGTCTCAGGCATTGTGCTAAGTACTGGGGATACAAATACCAGAAAGAAGTTTACATCTAACGGGGGAAGACAATACACAAAAAGATGGAGAAGGGCTGGGAGTGGGGGGAGGATAGGTATGTTGTGAAGAGAGGAAGATGATGGAAAAGGAGTGCAAAGGAGGACAGCTGAATGGGAAATGGAAGAGATGACTGGCCTGGATGCAATCATATTAAAAAATGGAGATCTTGGGAATAGTCTCCACTAACTAGACAGTATTCTAATTGACGGCAGGAAGCTATTTTCGCTTTTGCCTCAGTATCCCCCAGGCCTGGCACAGTAAACTGACCACCTGGAAGCTGGGAGCCACCTAAGCACAGCAATGAGACACTGCCCAAAGTACCTCAAAAACCAATAGGAATGCTCAAAACTCAACCTGAACTGGACCTAAAACATTTTAAACTTCATTGCAGAAAACAGAGGCCAAGATGCCAGCCAAAGGATCCCTGCAACCATGACTGGCATTTGCCCTCTGCTTTGGACCATCCAAAGAATAATCACCAAAGTGGTAGAAACTATCTCTGTGATATATTAAAAAAACAAAACAAACAAAAAAACCCAACAACTGATAGAAGCCAGATACCTAATGGCCTGGATATTTGAACACATTTGCATTAGGAGCCTGAATAACTATGGAAAACAATAAAAAGATCTGATGCCATCTGTTCCAGTAAGTGTTTTTCAACAAAGACTAAGTTTATACAATTCTGACACCATGCTTTGGTACAAGGAAACCTGGGTTACATATATTAAAAAAAAAAAAAAAGGGAAAAAAAATGAAGATTATTCTCCTAAAAGGTCTTACAATTTTATTTAAACAGTAGTAGTCTTTTTATAGATATAATTTAGAAGACAAAGTGAAAAAACAGACTTTCCAATTACAAAGTATCAGGACCTTCTCATAAAAAAGCTAGTTCATTTAATGTCATTATTGCACAGCTGTTATTATTCTTTACTTCAAATACTATGAAGACAGAAATCCAAGAGCTACTTCTGAAGGCCATGATAAAATAATGTTCTCTGGATATACTGCAAGTTTTTCCATGTTTTAACAGAACTAAAATTTTGCCTGTGGACCCATAATATGAAGTAGTTTGTGGTGGTTTTTTTTTTATTTCAGTGAACATTTAGCAAACAACTACTCCCCTCTTCCTAATTTTTCTAGTATGGTCAAGAGTACACCCATCCTCCCAGGGATGCAGGCTCACAACCTAGATGCCATCTTTGATTCCTCAGGCTCTCTTATCCCCTATATCCCATCAATTGCCACGTTCTATGTTTTCTACCTTCGTTAACATCTGTCCTTTGATGCTGACACCACTCTGATGCAGGCCCCTCATCATCTCATGTCTGTCTGGCCTGTATTGGCTTCTCTGCTTCAAGCCTCTCCTCACTTCAGTCCATCCTCTACTCAGCTATAAAATAAACTGTGGATTCTACAATTGATAAATGGTCAAAGGATATAAATAGGCAGTTCTTAGAAGAAAAAAAATCAAAGATGTTTATAGTTATATGAAAAAAATGCTCTAAGAGAAATGCAAATTAAAACAACACTGACAGGCCACCTCACAACCATCAGAAATGACAAATGCTGGAGGAGATGAGGAAAAAATAGGTACATTAGTGAACTGCTGATGGAGTGGTAAACTGCTCAAATCATTCTGCAGATCAATTTGGAACTATGCCCAAAAAGCTATAAAACTGTGTATATCCTTTGACCCAGCAATATCACTACTAGGTCTGTATGCTAAAGAGATCAAAGAAAAGGGGAAAGGACCTATAGGTACAAAAATATTCATATCAGCTCTTTGTAGTAGCAAAGAACTGGAAATCAAGGGGATGCTCATCAATTGGGGAATGGCTAAACAGTTGTGGCATACAATTATGATGAAATACTACTGTGCTATAAGAAATGACAAGGTACTGACTGATGCTGAGTGAAGTGAGCAGAACCAGAAAAACGTTGTACATATTAACAGCCACACTGTGTGATGACCAACTTTGATAGACTTAGTCCTTCTCAGCAATGCAGGGATCTAAGATATCTCCAAAAGTCTCATGATGGAAAATGCTATCCACATCCAGAGAAAGAACTATGAAGTTTGTATGCAGATCGAAGCATACTATTTGCTCTTTTTTTCTTTCTGTTTTGTTTCTTCTTTCTTGTGGTCCCTCCTATGGATTCTAATTCTTCCTTACAACATGACTAATGTGAAAATGTTTAATAGGAATGTATATGTAGAGCCTATATCAGACTGCACACCATCTGGGGGAGGGAGAGAAAAATTTAAACTCAAAAGCGTATGGAAGTGATTGTTGTAAACAAAAAATAAATTTAAAACAAAAAAATGACAAGGGGAGTAGCTTCTGAAAAACATGACAAGACCTATATGACTGATGCAAAATGAAGTGAGAAGAACTGGGAGATTGTTGTGCACAGTAACAGCAATGTTGTAATAATGATCAACTGAATGACTTGACTACTCTGACCAATACTACCATCTAAGACAATTACAAAAGACACATGATGAAAAAATGCTATCCACTTCCAATGAGAAGTAATGAATTCTGAGTGCAAACCAAAGTACAATTTTCTCACTTTACTTTATTTTTCTTTATTTTTTTTTGAGATAGTTAATATGGAAATATGTTTTATAGGATTTCACATATATAACTGGATGTAAGAGGAGATGGTAAGAAGGGGGAGAATGTTTAAAATAATTAAACAATAATAAATAGTAAATTAAAAGGTTTAAAAAATAATAATAAATTGTGGATTTGAATGGGTGAAACTTCTTTCCTGTAGCCCTATTCAATAACTCCAATGGATCAAATATAAAATTCTGTTTGGCATTCAAAGCCTTTCATAACTTGGCCCCCCTCCTATTTTTCCAGTCTCCTTAAATCTTATTTACTTCCACGTACTGCAAGATGCAGTGACACCTGCCTCCCTGCTATTCGTCAAATACAACACTACATATTCCATCTCCTGACTTACAGGCATTGTCACTGGCTTCCCCCATGTCTGATATTCTCTCCCTCATCTCAGCCTGTCAGCTTCCCTGGTTTCCTTCAAGTCTTAGGAAAAGTCCTACCTCTTGCAAGAAGCCTTTCCCTGCTTGCAAATAGTCACCCACATGTCAGACTGAGTTCCCTGACAGCAGAGATTGTCCCTAGTGCTTAGCACAGTGCCTGGAACATTGTAGGCATTTAATAAATGCTTGTTGATCATGTGCAAGGCACTATGCTAGATACTGGGGAAGATATATAGGTTAGATAAGAGTCATTTGTCCTCAAGTAACTTAAATCCTAACATAATACCATTATATTTAACAGACCAAGCTAAGTTAGTTTAAGATTCCCAAACAACATAAAATATAAATGTGCCTTATATATGTCTATATGTATACAAATAAAAAGATACATGCATGTATTTATAATGCACTCAAAATTCCATTTCTTAAGAAATAGAACGTTAATGAAAATTGCAAAATTAGACAACAGAAGGAAGTCTGGCTACTCTTTCATAAGCAGTTAACCATGGCATAATTTCATGTTGACTTGGCTCGATTTTCACATTTGCAGAGCACAAAATACGCTTCATCTTCCTCAGTATCATATTAAAGTATTTTTCATTGTAAGGACAATTATATTTCTTAAGATAAAAGGATATTTTAAAAATGTAATAATACTTATTCCCTTTTAATACAGATACTACCCATTCAGTATAGCTAAATTTAAGTCTTTATTGTTGTTGTTCAGTTGTTTCAGTCATGTCCAACTCTTTATGACCCCATTTGAGGTTTTCTTCGCAAAGATGCTAGAGTATTTTGCCATTTCCTTTTCCAGCTCATTTTAAAGATGAGGAAACTGAGGTAAACAGCGTTAAGTGACTTGCTCAGGGTCACAAAGTTAGATAGTGTCTGAGCTTTGAACTCAGTCAATTTTTCTGACTCCAGGCCCAGCACTCTATCTGCTGCACCACCTAGTTGCCCCTAAGTCTTTATTATTCCTCCATAATGGAAATCATTTAAAAGTTTTTAAAACATTACAACTAAGAAAACAAACTAATGTCTTTCAAACTATGTGACAGCATGGAAATTATAGGTTGTACTTTCCTTTGGCATACTTTTCTAGTAAGTTCTTTATAAAGAATGATTCAGCTTCTAAATAGATTTACTTTATCAGAAATCGATACGTGAAAGGCACCATATACATATACTTCAAACTTGCAGCGCAATAAAAGTACACTTAAAACTTACGGGGCAATAATGGCTCTAGCAGGTCTTTTTGTGGACTGTACTTGTGAGAGCCAACCTTCTAATTGTGCATTCAGCTGAGGACCTGGGGGAAAAAAAAGAGACAGATGATAAAAATAGAATGTAATTGAATTCAACAGATCTACCACATACCTACTATGTGCATCATGCTATGAGTCAGGGTTACAAAGACCTCCCCCCAAAAACATCTCTGTTCTCAAGGTATTTACATTATTCTGGGAGGAAACAAGACAAATAAGTAAATACAAAGTAATGAAACAGAAAGGAGATATAGCTTTTTTAATTGGATTTAGAGTCAGAAGAACTGGGTTCAAGTCCTGCCTTTGTCACTTACTATCTGTCTGACCTTGGGCAAGTCATCACTATATCCTGAGCCTCAATTCACTCATCATTAAAATAAGAGGTTTGGCCTCCAATCCCTTATAGCTCTAAATCTATGACCTCATCTCATGATTAATATAATTCTGATTATTAACAACTACTAGGATTGGTCAAGGAAGACTTCAAAAAAGACAAAGCACCTGAGTAAAACCTTAAAGAAAGATGTGGAACTGAAGAAGAAATGCATTTCAAACATGGGGGACATGCCTGAGCGAAACATACAGAAATCTACAACAAAATGACTTTTGGGAACATGTGTTCAAATAGCCTAACAATCAGAGACAATGTTCTAATACTATAACTGTACCATAAACTAGATATACATAATATCAAAGGTAGCAATAATAGTTATCCCTTAATATGATGAATAGCTGACAACAAAGAACCTATTTTTACATTCATAATAACTATTACCATGAAAGAGAAAAATATATAAAAAATTAATGTCACACTTAGGGCTGATTAATCTAATACTTCATATAAATATTTAATGAATATATAATAGTAGGCAATTTGATCATGTGCTTCATTGTTAATGACTTGGAAGCTTACAGTTTCCTATAAGCTCTAAAAAAAATTAGTAAATAAGACTGTTCTACTTAAGCAAAATAAAACAATGTGAGGATTCTAAGCAGAGTAAGAAAAAGAAATAAAACATCTGGAAAAAGGTAATTCAGATTTTTAGAAAACCGAAAACAAACCTTGCTTGGTTCAAAGAAATTCCACTAAATTAAGGTATACATCAAAAGACCAAATAAATCTTTCCAAATCAAGGGTTCTTAACTTTGTGTCATGGAGCCCTTTGGAAGTCTGGAAAAGCCTATGAACCTCTTCTTTAAATGTTTGTAAATGCATAAAATGAAATACACGAGATTACAAAGTACAAACCAATTATACTGAAATATAGTTATCAAAATATATATATATATATATATATATATATGTATTATTAAAGTTTACAGACCCAAACTTAAGAACTCCTGCTGTAACCTAAGTTTCTATTTGCTATTCAAAACACTGCAATTCTATCTCTCTACACAGCAATATGCTTCAGGGTTACATTAAGTCTCCTTAAAGTAGAAATTACCAGCTATGGAAAGATAGCTAAAAAGTCAACTCAGAACTGAATTTTTTTAAAAGCCTGAAATACTGCATAATTTTGAAATATGGAGAAAAATTTCATTTTGAACAACTCACCATTTGGTAGCATGCCACTCAACTAGCAGAGTTCAGTAACAGCTTTAAATTATCTAATACTACCATTAATATTTTTCATAGGACTTCTCAGATATAGTTAGTTGACAGCTTTAGATTTCTTCTTGAATTTAATTTAAAATACTGTGCTACCTCTACAAAATGACTCATGTTCTCTATACACTGATTATGTGCCTCCAAGAAAATCATTCATAAAAGATAATTGTCTGGAAAAACTCAGACTTCTAAAGATGCTTGAGGATCTGAAACTACATAAATGCCCATCTACAGAGATCAGTGCATTTGTAAATAGACAGGACCATCTATAAACTGGTATATGGAACCAAAAATAAAGAAGGTTGATTTAGGGCTTAAACAACAGCATTCATAAAAACCAAATCTCCTACACGTACAAATAATTGCGTCAATAATCAGTTTGAACAAAAAAAAAGTGCTTCTTGATTTTTTAATCTTTAATTCAGTACTGAATATTAGGTACTATGAATTAACTTTTTATTACTATTCATAAGTGTTTTATTAACTTCATTTTAAAAGCCCTAAATCTATACCTCTGTTCTTTTGCCAATTTGAAAATACTGCAGTAGTGAAAATGGCTGGTGACAGAAGGGTCAGATCCCAAGTCTCTCTATTTACTTTTGAATAATTCAAGACTATAAAAATAGTTGCAGGCTAGGTGGCACACTGGGCCTCCAGTCAGGAAGACTCATCTTACTGAGTTCAAATCTGAGCTCAGACAGTTACTAATTGTGTGACCCTGAGCAAGTCACTTAAGCCTATTTGCCTCAGTCTCCTCATCTATAAAATGAGCTAGAGTAGGAAATGGAAACTACTCCAGTTTCTTTGCCAAGAAAACCCAAAATGGGGTCAAGAAGAGCTGGACACGTCTGAAAAATGACTGAACAACAAATAAAAATATTTGGCAACTTAACACTTCACATAAGTGGATATACATACATATATATATAAAAATACATATATACATATATACACATTTGTATAACACATATACATATATTACTTATTCATTTCTGACCGCCAAATTGCAATGTTTATAAACTGAAGAAATGAAAAACTTTTTTATTAAGATACTTACCATATATAAGGTAAATACTAATTCATCTTTAGTATGCCAATAGCTTTTTTCAGTCATAGTAATAAATTTTTAGTGTTCTGCCCATACTCTTATTTAGTCCCCTCTGTAATCTATAATACGCATTTTACAAGATGGCATTCTGTAATTCTGGAAAAGTTAACTGAACTTTGCAGAAAGTGAAAGCACTGAATACTATATTCTAAGTTAGCTAACATGTCATATTAACAAAAAGCAGAACTAACTACATAAAAACTATTCAGATTTATTACTAGGAATATCATAATTTTATATCAGCCCACTCAAATATCAGAGTAGACCAAACCAAAAACAAAATGGCATTTCTACAACTTTCCCAATAGTAATCTACTATATACTGACTTAAGTTTTTCTGTCAATATTTTAACTTATTTTCAACCATCAGCAATAATATCTTCATCCTACAGGGTCAAACTCAATAGGTTAACCCTAAATATTCTATTTCAGTTCTTTGTTGTTCAATTTATAACAGTAAAAGAGAAAGTAAACTATTTCATTTTCCATTTTCCTAAGTAGTATGTATATACCTATACTTAAGTTACTTATGAGAAGCAAACATACAGGAAGATACAAAGTGTATTTCGAATTTATTCCAAAACAGTTGGAGCTTCCTACTATTATTAATAAGAAATGACCATCCTCCTAATGGCGAGGCAGCATGATGCAATGGGAAAAGCCCTGGACTTGAGGTCCAAAGAACTAGGCTCAAGTCTCTGATCTACCTCTTCATGTGTGATCCTGGATAAGTGATTCTTTCTGAGCTTCAGTTTCCTCATATCAAAAATGGAGATGATATGAGAAGCTAGGTGGCGCAATGGATAGAGCACCAGCCCTGAAGTCAGGAGGACCTGAGTTCAAATCTGGCCTCAAACCAAACACTTGATACTTACTAGCTATGTGACCCTGGGCAAGTCACTTAACCCCAACTGCCTTTAAAAAAAAAATAGAGATAATACCTATTCCATCTACTATGCAGTTATAGAAACAAAATGAAATAATTTGTGGAAAGCACTTATTGTATTCTTACCTCATGGTATATTGTAAAATCATAAATATTATCAAGTATGTCAATCAGGAAGTGAATTCTGGTTATAGCAACAGTGTATGGAGGTATAACTTTCAAATGAAAAGCTTCAAGAACAGCAATAATGATTCTCACGCAGCAAAAGTTTCTGATAAGAGCAAACCTGGAACCTAATAATTAACAAACATTTGTCTAGCGTAGGTTGATTTTAAGATTATCTTACATCAATATGGACAATTTTTTAAAATATTTGATTAGAGAAAGCAATAAAGCTCAGTGAAGTAAGCAATAAAATGCAAACTCAAGAAGTGAAGACAATGAAATCAATCTACTACAGGTAGCTAAAAGCCCACATTGCCTCTTTTAGAATAAAGATTTTTTAAAATTCTTCATAAATAGTTAAATAGCCAGTCTAGACAACCACATTAGTTGTATAAATGTCAACCTAGCAAAATACTCATTAGGATTTCTTTATCTTCAGGAGTCTCTTGCTGAGGTTGTCTCAGAATTATGAATTCTATAATCAAAATTCTATTCCCGAGAATGAGAGAATGTATACACACCAAAAGGCAGCTTCCAAGGCAGTACTATCATGATTGGAGCCAGTGCTTACCTTTCTAAAGTATCCCTTCCTTACTTTCAAAACATCGCTAAAAACCCTTCCTTCACTATATTTAACTTTTCCATGCTGTCGTATTATTATTTTACCTTTAACTCTTAAGTATCAGTGTTTTATACTCCATGCTGGGTTTTCAACTTAACCAATTTTTAAATTAAATAAATGGTATTTTCAAAGGAAGGAAACAATCAGTACCACACCTAGCAATAATTTCATAATCAGCTACTCGTGTATAGTCAGATACCTGGCTAGAAGTAAACAAATAATTAGAATCATGAGATGAAGATCCCAACTCTATAGTTAGAAGGTTCCTGAGGGGTTTATTAGTTAAACTTGAACAGAAATCTCCTTCACAATCACCTCAGACATATAATCATCTATATTTTCCGAGATGACCAGAGAAGAAAACCAGTAGACCAGCCACCATACAAGGTACCCTTTCCTCATTTGCAAAGATCTTCCTTTAGTCCCCTCCACTAGAAGAAGCCACCTGGGAAAGTAAATCTGTTGTCACCAGGGGCCCCCTTAAAAGAGCAATAGGGTTTTCTACTCTTCTGCTTATAGGAGGAAAGACATTGGGGAAGCAGCGGGGGAAAAGGCACATAGTACATGAGTGTAAAAGGAAAGAATGAATACAAGCCAAGGCACAGAGGCAGCTCTAGACTGGGTGTGTACAGTACAGTATACTCTAGTTAC